CAATCAGTGCACAGCGCTATGAAGACACTTTGCAGAAACTGAGACGTGCCATAAAGGCAAAACGCCCTGGGATGCAATCCGACGGCATTACCCTTCTTCATGATAATGTGCACCCCCCCACTGCCAACTGTGAGGAATGCGCTACAGAGATTTGGTTGGGAAGTGCTTCAACATCCGCCCTACAGCCCAGATCTCCCCCATGTGATTTTCACATTTCTGGAGACCTGAAGGGAGACATTCGTGGGCATCGGTTTGCATCGGACGAAGACGTGTGTGGCTGGGTAAAGATGCGGTTCCGTAGACAGCCCACAAGCTTTTTCAAGGATGGGATTGACTGCCTTATCTCCCAGTGGAATAAATGTGTTAACAGTTTGGAGATTACTTTTGAGGTAAGAAATGTTCTTTAAAATGTTTTGGCTTGTGACACGTTTTCATTTGACTGCCCCACATATATGGAGCACGCGGTAGCGTAGTTGGTTGAGGCACTATACCACAAGCCAGAAGGTCGCGAGATCGAATTCCGATGAGGTCATTGTATTTTTGTTTTCAATTTACCTAATCATTCCAGCCACACCGTGACCCTGGAGTCGACTCAACCTCTAACAGAAATGAGTACCAAGAATGTTCTTGGAATGTTCTTGGAGATAAAGGGCGGCAGGAGCGTAAGGCTGACAATCTTACCGCCGACTGTCTAGAAAATGTGGGAACCTCAATATCTCACAACCCTATGGGCCTCCACGGCCTGTTACAGGGATAGCTTTACTTACTTACTTTACGAGTAACTAGAAATCGAGAAGGTTAACAATGCGTTATCATTTGTAACTTGCGTCACGAACCTTACCAATCAAAACTAGGCAGAGGAACGGTCAGTTCTCGCTTGGTTTTCCCGTCAGTACCTCATTCGCTCCTACACAATTCTGAGATGCTACCATCTGGAGAGCCACTACCGTTCTTTTCCCAAAGCCTTCACTGCCCATCATCCTGTCTAATTCAACGTTATATGTTATTACCAGTTGAAACAATAATATTAAATAAATTAATCACTGCCTTAGTAGATTTATGGAAAGTATAGATTGGCCATATTCTTGACATTTATACACGTTTCGACTTCGTGCTTGGTAGGTAGTAAAAAAAAGAAATTATATAACACCTCGCGAGAGACAACCAAAATTGTATCTTACTCCTGTGCAAGTTTCGACGATAATACGACACTATGCAACCAACTTTCCTTCCCCCTACCACTCGCCCCTTCTTCCAGTATAATAATCATGACGGTCTCCTCCTCTGAGACGTGAAAGTGATCCAGTGTTCCGTTTCGTATTGCTGTGAGCGGCAGGTCGTCTTCGTTAGTCCGCCAACAAAGCAAGTAAAGGCTGCCAAAGTAAGTTCAGTGGCATATACACACGTCGCGTACTGCTTTAATGAAACACCTCTAGTCGCTTTTGCCTTTATCTAACCGGGTTTTCCACAACAATATTTCATAATGTAGTGCCGAGAAATCTGAGTTCCATTATTCGGTAGGGACAGACCGGTCCCACCAGTCTGTCATCCAGTGGACACCGGGGACTCCTGTTCTGTGATCCATAAACACATAAAGTCTATTTGAAGTAAGATCGACCGCGTGGAGTCTGTTATTGTAATCACTCTGTTTACAACGATATTGATAAAACCGACTGAAGCGATTGTCGAGGTGTTTCAGTATTATCATATAAAATTTAATCCACCATAATTCACTTGAGATTAATCAAATATCTAAACGAGAGTATTGCGAATTTAGACGTAATTATATATGGTAATATATTCTGTAAGCCGGTCACGGTAGCCGAGCGGTCTAAGGCATGCACTGTCTTCGCTCGCTCGGAAGCCGGGATCGTGGGTTCGAATCCCACTCAGGGCATGGATGTTTGTGTGCGTTTTTCTGTGTTTGTCTACAGGTAGAGGCCTTGCGACGAGCTGATCACTCGCCCAAGGGGTCCTACCGAATGTGTAAGATCTAGTAAACCGAAGTGAAACGGAGAGTTTCATGGAGGTAGGCCTAGGCCCAAATTGGGGCTGTAGCGCCACAGAAAAAAAAATATATATTCTGTATTTGTCACCTGCTGAAGAGAATTGCAGTAGAAGGCCACAGTGTATCAGCTGTTTATGCACATTAAGAAGGCATATTATTCAATTAGAAGATAAGTAATATATTCCATTTGAATTTATTTTTCCCATAAAACTATCTATGCTCATTGAAACGTGTTTAAATTAAACTCATAGTAAATTCATAATAGGTAAAAATTTGTCTGATATGTTGCATTTCCGGATCGGCATAAAAGAAGGTTCCATTTAGCAGTTGCTTTTCAATTTTACTTTAGAATCCTATACTAGGAAAGTCCTAGAGAATTAGACAGAGTTGAATTCAGACTGGTCTATGCTCGCTCACTCAGTAACTCATGGAGCTGAGCACTTCTTGGGAAGCTGCCAATTTTGTAACTACTCAAGATTTTTCCAGCATTTCATGGAACCCGAAGGTTCATTACCGTGTTCACAAGAGCCCTCCATAGGTCCCTATCCTAAGTCAGATCAATCCAATCCATACCATCCCATCCTGTCTCTCTAAGATCCATTTCAATATTGTGCACCCACCTACGTCTTGGTTTTCCCACCAATATCCTACATGCGTTCATCTCCTACCCCATTCGTGCTACATACCCTGCCCATCTCATCCTCCATGACTTGACAAATCTAGTTATACATGGAGAAGAATACAAGTTTTGAAGCTCCTCATTATGCAGTTCTCACTAACTAGCCTACTTATAATTTCTCGCCACGGACCGCACAGGAAACACAGTTCCTCTGTTGCTGTTTACAGGCCATTGCCTATTAACGGCCGATGTCTAATCGCTTGTTTCGTGGTCGTTGCCTAGCAACGGGTCTACATGCCACAGTATTAAAACAGATATTAAGGAGAAAGTGTGGTGGGGTGAGGACTGGATTCATGTGGCTGAGGATAAGGAGCAGTGACGGGCTGTTGTGAGCATGGTAATGAATCTTCTGGTTCCGTAACATGCTGGTAATTTCCTTAGTGGCTCAGCAAAAATTACGTGTAGTTACTCAAGCAAGAATCAGCTATGTGGAATTTGTTAGTTAATTAGTTAGCCGACTGCAGGGCCGCATCATAGCACAAGCGGTTAGTCGCTGGCTTCCCAACACGGCGGCCCGAGTTCGATCTCGGGTCTGGTCAAGTGGGATTTGTGGTGGACAAAGTGCCGCTGGGGCAGATTTTCTCCGAGTACTTCGGTTTCCCCTGCCAATCTTCATTCCATCAATTGCTCCACAATCACCCTCATCTATTATCTGGGGCTGCTACAATTGGCCAGAAGTGGCCGCATTACAAGGGACTTAGTCCCACCCCACTAGCAATAAAAAAATAGCTGATCTGCGGGTTAAAAATAAAAAAAATGACATATAAGAGTGGATAGATGTATCACATAATTATCAAATATATTGTCACATGTAGAGGGGTACGCGTGACGAAATGACCGATTCTAGTTGGGATGATTGGATTTATTAACGGCTTGGTTACACACACTCTCTTAATCAGACTTAAATACGTGCAATACAGCTCTATCGCTGATTTACACACTTTCTAGTTCACCGATGTACACGCACTAAAATTTTCTGTCTTCCACTAGTCGTCTCCTAGCAACGGATCTCCACACAGAAACTGCCACTTCAAACCACTCCAAGTATTACGCATAATTAAAGGTCTTCAGATCACACTTTAAATCTTCACAGGGCAACCTCCTTACTCTTTTGTATTCCTGGTTCAATTTCGCTTGCTTCAGCCACTCGGTGGCTCGATCTCGTCATGTAGTCTCGAATTGGACAGCGCGGAATACGCAGATCGTCCTCATTGTTGCGTGGAAGGGGTATTTAGAGACCGTTGCGTAGCAACGGTCTCGGTGAGGGGATAGATGACGTCACTTGCTAAAACGCAGAGGTCACGTGACCCCTATTCACTATTGCAGTATGACGTCATCGCACCTGCGCGGAAGTCTTGTTTACCGGCTGGTGCTTAGAAGCGAGTTGCACAACTTCGTTCCACTGTTAGTAACTTAGCAAATGACAGTTTATCAAGAGTCTGTCTTCGTGGCATCTCGTTCCACACGCCGTCGCACAACAACGGGTTGACATGTCACAATATTCTTTCCGAATTTTCATTCCTACATGACCATGATGTTGCATATGCTGATGCAATTTAATTGGTTTCTTCTCTAATTTTGTACTAATCTACTGTGGCAGAAATTGCTACTGTAATTCGTTACATGAGAAAGATACAAGTCTATCGTTGCGAAAGCCAATCATAAGCAGAGAAAGATATCACATTTCCTTTTATTTCATTAAATATTTGACTCCAAACACAGCAGGAATAAAAAAAATCCGTTGTTTTAGTCCTCAAGCGAACTATACCGACCGAGCGACCGGTGCTTGTCAGCGAAGTTAATGCCAACTTCAGCGGATAGAGGGTGTCGCATGATCAGTGCAACGAATCCCCACGGCCGGTAATTTCAATTTTCTAGACTGGACAGCAGGAATAACTACATACTATTATCTGTACGGCGAATACTTTAGACTCCAGGCTGGGCAAACGAGGAATCAGGGATTTTTCTCTTCTCCACAGAGTCCAGACCGATTCTAGGGCCAATCCAGCCTCATACCCAGGGGGTACCGGGGTTCTTTCTCCAGGAAATGAAGCGCAGGAGGCGTGAACCTAACCACTCACCTCCATCTAGTGTCGACATTAATATTTCGTGGAGCTATACCTCCACGTTTTCTCTGCGGTCCGTGTCGTATAAAGGGAAAGCAAGCGACTATTTATTCCCAGAACTTGCTGTTTAGTTTGTTATTTAATGAGGGCGATATGTATAGAGATTAAATAGCGTCGACTTACTGTTTAGAGACTCTCTCAATTCAGTGACTGGGCCAAATCGATAGGGCTGTATCGCTATGACACCTGCTGTCGCAACTTGTTTTATTCAACTTAAGTAAATAAACACCAGGAAAAAGAGTGTTTCGATATAAATTGTATATTTTAACAATATCTTTATTTAAATCAGGTACTACATTCTTTAAGGAGCTGTGGTAGCGTAGTCGGTATAGCGACTGACTACGGGCTGGACGACTGAGGGGTCGGAGTTCGAGTCCCTGTAAGGTCAAGAATTTCCTCTCCTCCAAATCGTCCAGACCAGTCCTGGGGTCCACCCAACCTCCTATCCAATGGGTACTGGGGCTCTTTCCCCGGGGGTAAAGCGGCAGGGACGTGAAACTGATCACTGATCTCCATCTAGTGCTGAGGTCGAGAAAATGTGGATCTATAGATGCACTCCCCCATACGCCTTCATTCGTTGAGCACAGGGACAACTTTATCTTTATCTTACTACATTCTTTAGAAGTCGGGATAGCTCAGTCGGTAAAGTGACTTGCTATGTGCTGGAGAGCCGAGGGGTTGCAGTTAGAGTCCCTGCAGGGGCACGGTTTTCTCCTCTCCGCATCGTCCAGACAGGTTCTGAAGCCCTCTAATCGGTGGCTATTTCTCTGGGAGTAAAGCAGCTGGGGGGTGAAACTGACCACTGACCTCCACTATTGCCAAGGTCAGGAATACATGGATCTATACATCCACTTCTCCTATACGTCTTCATGACTTAGTGCTTCATTAGTTCAGCATAGGGACAACTTTACCTACTTTATGTTGCTTTGAACAACACCTGTACCAAGCATGGCGGAAGTAAGAAATTAGTTCATATTTCAAGCAGGAAAATCCAATTTTTAGACTATAGTACTTCAGAGACGAAGACGTACAAGAAAGAATATAAGAGAAAATGAAACAGATCAAATACACGTAGACCATCTGGTACCAAACGTTTCTATAGATGCCTCAGAATTCGTCATCGCATCTAATTCACCACCAATATAACGTCTATTGCATAGTTCAAACTGCGTCACTGAGGAATATGATTAAGCTGCTACTTGAAAACCGTTCTTCTAACAAACTGTGGGCTTAAGACGTGGGCGTGTCACCGTGAGACATTTTGTTTACAATTGCAATATTCTTGTAACGAGGAATGACTTGCAAGTTACGAAACACTTTCACATTTCACAGTTTATTGCAGTCAAACGTCTGAAAAGCACATCGTAAGCAAATACACCTCGGAAAGGTAGGGTCTACGAGTAAGTCATGACTGACAAATGGAGTTATACGTGGATATCTTATGGCTAAATATAACACTGCCGGTCACGGTAGCCGAGCGGTCTAAGGCATGCACTATCTTAGCTCGGAAGCCGGGATCGTGGGTTCAAATCCCACTCAGGGCATGGGTGTTTGTGTGCGTTTTTCTG